TCTGACCTTATTTTTTATAGCAGTTATTTTCTTCTTAGAGTCTCAATTCCAAAGGTGGGGGACATGGAAACAATCTCCATCAGTCTGAGGTACCTCTTTTCTTAGGGTTACAGCTAAGCTTCTGGGAACATCCTTGCATGGAGGGAAGGAGAATCTCCCGAGTTCTTTAATTCCCACTTTCTCCAACTCCCAGCCTGGGGCATGGCCCAGGGTGAGGGACCTTCTTAGCTACCCGCCAGTGTCTAAACTCTTTTGGTTGCTCCTCCTCACCAGCCCTGCCTCCTCTTGAAACTTCCCCATCTGCCTGCCCAGGAAATCTTTACCTAGTGTTTGGTAGGGGAGAGAGTGAGGTGGTGATTGAGAAACTTAGTTGTGACTAATCACACGTTCTTCCAAGTCTACTTCTATTTTATACCAGCATTTACAGTTTTGAAATGCAAAGGCCAAGGATTTGACCCTTTGCTATCTATGTATTACTCTTCTAATAGCCTTTCCAGGAAAAGAATGAATTCTTGATTTGTGCAGCTCATGAGCAAGGAATGGTTTTTACATTCTTAAATAGTTGAAAGAAAATCAAAAGAAGAATATTTCATGATGCATGGAAATTATAAGAAATTCAACTTTCAGTGTCCAAAATACAAATTTGATCATGACAATTATTTTGCATATTATCTATGGCTGCTTTCACACTGCAAATGCAAAGTTGAATAGTTGGGACAGAGACCTATGGCCTGCAAAGGTTAAAATATTTACTGTCTAGCCATTGAATAAAAAGTTTGCCACTACCCTGGTTTAGCTTAATTAGAAAAGTCATCCTTAATCCATTTTCTTGAGCTTACAGCCAAGATTTCCCTTCCTTACTATAACTGCTGAAGGACACCATCAAAGGCAAATAGTAATACTAATAGCTAGTGTTTTAAAATGTTATCTACATGAATACACATTATAAAAAAATCACTAGAGATGAAAAAATGATTATGGAACAGCCCTGCCTTCCAGGGACTCATAATTAATGGATGGGTTAACAGATGTATAAGCAGGTAAGTGTAGACAATGTGGCAAATACTCCTGAGACAGGACATGCAGAAAAGGGCAAGGATTGCTACAGAAGACCGTGAGCTCAGGTTTTGATACAGGTTTGAGGTGCCAAGGAGATAGTCCATGAAGATAACCAACAAGTAGATAAATATTCTCCCTGTGGTGTCAGCCTTACAGGATCACCTGAAGGACTGGCTGGCCCCCTCAGGTACCTTTAGATGTGGTTTAACTAAACGGGCTGAAAAGCAACCTCAATCCACTGGTTTTTGTTTTCAGGATAGCTTCCTTTGCTCTACTGCACTTGCTGTGTGACTCCCCTGGAGGTTAAGAAGAAGAGTAACAATAATAACAGCCAGCATGTACTGAATTTGAACTCTAGTCCAGGCTCTCAGCTAACTTCTTACATCATTTGATCGTTCCCAGAGCCATATGAGGTAGGTGGTTATCTTATTACTATTTTAGGTATGGGAATAATGAGGCACAGAGAAAATCAGGAACTTGCCCAAGGTTGCTTAACTAAAAAGTAGAGAGCTTTGAACTCTAGAGTCTGTGCTGTTAGCCATAGGCTTTCCTGTGTTAGTTGCCTGCTATTTTGAAGTAAAGAACCTCTCTCAGGTGGTATCGGATGGAGGTAGAGCTGAGGTGGAAAAGTGAATCTATAGTCCTTAGCATCCCCTCACTCTTCTTGACTCTGACTTCCTGTTACCCACCCTACAAGAAGGCAAAGATAACACTTTATGCATGACCCAGATGAAACTGACAGGGTGGCAAGTGTAAAATATAAAGTTCATTCTGGCTTTTACAACTGGGTCATCTGGATAGAAATGGTAATTCACCTTTTATTGTGCAAGTGGCTAAATTTGGAGGAAGCATGTTGCAGGGGATAGAATGCAGCTTTTGGTACGAAACCTGTTCTTTAATTTTCCAAATATTTTTTGGGGTTCCCAAAATGATATAGCCTGAGAGCCACTAATTACTAACACTGTAGGTTTAGAAAACCTGGCTTGAGCTCTTTGAGCTCTCTGTCCTTATTTCTACAATGGAGCTGATATTACTCATCCCAAAGGATTGTTATGAAGATTAGGTATAATAAATATTCTTTCAGGTCCTTCATTTGCCTGCTACTGATAAAGAGGTTTTGAAAAGCAAGCTCAAACTTACCCTTAAGTTACCAAGTCTCATAACAGCATACACAGCACCACCAGCGGAAGCAGAGAACAAGAGTTTCAAAACCTATTCAGTTTCCAAAATCCTATTCAGAGATACTGGTAATCTAATTACTTTCTATTTTCTAAACATTCTGACATTCCATAGCCTCTTCCTTCTTGTGCCAATACGGAAGTTTCCTATTATCAGTATCATCCTATGACTATGACACTAACAAATGATCCAGGTATCCTATTAGAATAAAACTCCTTTAATTCAAAATCAAAAACTCAGAGAATTTCATTTGGGCTCTTTCAAAATTTACCTGAATTCTGCATTTGCAAAGGATTGGCGGTGCTGTTGTTTAGCTTTCATCCTGCTTGTCCCCAGGCCTGGGACTGCTGGGCACACAGATGCCACAATTCTTGAGGCCAGGAGTCCAGCAGAATCCTCACTGGGCTATTGACCAAATGGTGCAGAACATGGACTCACATCTAAGTGTAATCTAAACAACTATGCAGCTCACATTTCTAATGTAAGTGAGCAAAGGTAAATGAACAAGTAACATGAGGGATTTATTTTTAAAGGGTAATTTTCAGAATATGTCTTCAATCTAGTTTCACCGTCATCTTCTCACACTCTTTAAACATGTTGCTCTACAGCAAAACTGATGTTCAGAATGATAAGCCTGAACCTGCTCATCACCAAAGATTAATGTTAAGTACAGGTGAACCTTGAACAGTGCAGGGGTTAGGGGCGATGGCCCCTTGTGCAGTAGAAAATCTACATATAAAATCTACATACATTTGGCTCCCCAAAAATTTAACTACTAATAGTTTGCTGTTAACCAGAAGCCTTTCTGATAACATAAACAATTAACATATATTTTGTATGGCATAAGTATTATATACTGTATTCTTACAATAAAGTAAGCTTGAGGAAAAAAATGGTTTTTCAAATTGTCACAAATCTGCAAATAATTTTCTAATATATTTATTGGGGGAAAAAATCTGCATGTAAGTGGACTCATGCAGTTCAAACCCCGTTTGCTCAAGGGTCAAACTGTACATAGTATTTTAGTAAGTCCCTGAAAACTGATAAATTAATTCATGGTATATAACTCCTAATTAAGCAAAGCCAGACACTCTATTCCTTTATTATTTTGACTAAGTGGCAGTTTATTGTACTTGAAAATAATGAAATGGCATTTCTCTTCAAATACACCAAAATTGGAACTTTTTCCTTAGTTAGATCAGTGTTTATTTGTATTTCAAATTACTGAGTTTCTATGATAAAGTTCACAGGTGCTGTCATGTAATGTGATTATAATAAATGAGCCTCATACCTGTGCCTCTCCTAAGTCACTGGGTAACTTACCATTGGCATGTAAGGATGATTATTTACCTAGACATTCACTTTTTACCTTATGCTCATATAAAACTGGGGTCAATGCTAGTAACATATCTTACATTTTAAATTACACATTTTTCATTTAAAAAAATATACCCATAAATTTTAAGTTCTTTTTAAACAGATTTGATTCCCCTAGATGCCTGTTAAGTTTCAGCATAGAATCCTTAAATTTTATGTCCATAATCACTGATGTAAATTTCACCGTAGGAGATACTAAATTATAAAAAGCTAAATAGATAGATCCCTTTAGTTGGACATTTGTTTATTTAGCAACTTATAAAAGGCAAGACCTATACAGGAAACATCTCCCTGTTTGGAAGCATATGGTAATCATTATTAAAACTAGAGTGGTTTGAATATCACACAAACAATCCGATAAAAACATGTAAAACCAATCTTTGCAAGTCCACTGTGGTCACTGTTGGTTGGCTTTTCTTTAATTCATTTAGATGCTAAGACATAGTGAAAGTTAGCTTACATTCCAAGAAGTTTGATTTGTTGTAGCCTTGTATCTCATTTCACAGGAAACCTTTTCAATTGTTGTTTGACTGTTCCAGTGAATTATGGTCTTGGGCACTGTAGTATTTATATCCTCAGCCCTGGAAATGATGGATGCAGAAGGTATCACTAGAAAACACAAATACCCATCAGTTTAAAACTTACCCAGTAGGAAATAAATAAATTTGTATCAATATACAGACATGTGAAAACTCAAAGCACTAAAAAGAATGTTATGATCTAATTAATACTTAATGAATTTTTCATTCTTTTCCAATCTAGTATGTAGGAGAAAACTGCTGTAGTTAAGTAAAATTCTACTCAGCCCCTTCTCCATTTCTTTTAATGGAACTCTAATTGTCCTATCTTTCCCCCATCTACAGCACCTTTATAATCCTAAATAATGAAATTCCAAAGTCTAGCCTTATTTACAAAAGAGTATAAAGAAGAGAAAAGTCAATATCTCTTTTTCCCTACCTCTGTTTAGGGAGAAATTATGTTTTGCATCCTAATTTAGTTCAGAGAATCTGAATTGATAAAATGTTAAATTGAGATCTTTCACAATAATATTTTTATTCTCTTATGTCATTGGGAACATGAATATTTAAATCTATTACTAATTTGTTTTGCTAATTATTAAAATAAATCCATGCTTGAAAGTATGATTTTAACAAAGCAAGTCTCAAAATTTCTAAGACTTTATAAATTATTGCCATGTTCTAGGTTTCTATGCCCAGGAATGTTGGAGAACCATTACATAAATTGTAGTGAGCCTTAACAATATCAAAGAAAATGACAATTTAAATGTATGTACTTGCCCTAGGATAGTTTTGTCCATTTTGATAGAAGTCAAGATAGAAGTATAAATATTTAATTTTTTTTTAATTCTTAAGATAAATACTCACCTATTTCAGATGTTTTATGAAAAAAGGATGAACTCCAGGGCTGCCAATACCTTTTACCTGTTTCTCGACACCTCACTTGAAATACATACTCAGTGTTTGGCTTCAAGTAGAATTCTGACTGTTGCATGTATGTAAAATTGGTGTCAAATTCTTTAACCTAAAATGGATGAATAACAATCATGAAATGCTACAATGTGCTTTTAAAACAAAAAATTACTCCATTCACCAGAAATGTATGGAGCCCCTATTGTGTTCCAGGCACTCTCCTAGAATCTTGAAAAACAAAGAGGAATAAGGGACTTTATATAAATCATGGCCATAAATAATCAAATGTGTTATTTAACATTAAAAGTGAATACACATTGCTTTGTGTTTAACAACTCTCTCAAGCTTTTAAATCTCAAGAAAGTCCAAATATAACATACTCTTAATTTTGGAATAGCTGATTTTTAACAGGTGGGAAAAGTGGAGAACCTAATAGCAATTGTTTGAGTCCAGTCTCACTCTCCCTCTGTCTCTGTCTCTCTCTGTAGTTGGTTAATTATATCAGTAATTCTTCATGAATGGTGAAATAATTTCATCAGCTAATGATGACTTTTAGAAAAAAATACTCACAAGCTAAGCTGTTAAATTGGTCCTAAATGCTGCAGATTTATGCAGATTCTACAAGGCCTATTATATATATGTATGTGTAAGAGAGAAATAAAACATTTAAGAATGTTGAGCTGTGAAAATATAATGGAAGGTAAACATGAATAGAGGTGAGGTATAAACTTACAAATCATTTTCTGGGGTACTACGACCTGCTATAAAACCTAATGATAAATGGCCCCCTAACAAGCTGGTTCAGATGGAAAGAGAGAAAGCAAGGCATTTACATAGCACATTCAGTATGTTGTGATAAGTAGATTTATTGAAAAAAAGAAAGCATGATGAAAAGGTAAACATGAAATGCATTTAGGCAGCAACTGGGAGGAAACAGCTACCAGACACTCATGAAAGAAGTTGCAACTATCAAGATTTAAAAAATTAAAATGAAAAAAAGAACAGGTTATCTACGTCAATTAGGGATTCTTCTGTTAAACTCCAATATTAAAATAAATTGTTAAAACTTGCAATCCATCACAAACATAAAATTCATGAAAGTATCTGCTTGGAGGACATCATATCCCCTATAAGATATTATTCAGAATTTCTATAAGCCATGTCTCTATCTATGGCCCTTGGAATTTTCTGTTATGTAAATATAACTGGTGGACATCTGGGGTCTCCTAGGGTACAGGAAAGATTTTACTTGTGTCAAAACTTTGACTTTCAAATACACTCTGCTTCATATTAGCTTCTCTTAGAAGGGAGTGTTTTTCTCCAATACTCTTGTCATTACATTTATAGATAAGTCCTCTTGAAAAAAAAGGCTCTAAACTACAGCTGGAATTCTAAAAGAGAAAAATTTTACAGAACTATTAACAGAGCTGTCTCTATCATGAGGCAAGCCAGGTGACTGCTTAGGGCCTTGTTAGCACAAGATGATACCTCAAGATGATACTTTCAGAGACTAAAATGAACATTGAGAGAGGTAGACTTGGGTGCCTATGTAGAGGGTATGATCTCAAGTGCAAGAAATCTGACCTTATTTTTTATAGCAGTTATTTTCTTCTTAGAGTCTCAATTCCAAAGGTGGGGGACATGGAAACAATCTCCATCAGTCTGAGGTACCTCTTTTCTTAGGGTTACAGCTAAGCTTCTGGGAACATCCTTGCATGGAGGGAAGGAGAATCTCCCGAGTTCTTTAATTCCCACTTTCTCCAACTCCCAGCCTGGGGCATGGCCCAGGGTGAGGGACCTTCTTAGCTACCCGCCAGTGTCTAAACTCTTTTGGTTGCTCCTCCTCACCAGCCCTGCCTCCTCTTGAAACTTCCCCATCTGCCTGCCCAGGAAATCTTTACCTAGTGTTTGGTAGGGGAGAGAGTGAGGTGGTGATTGAGAAACTTAGTTGTGACTAATCACACGTTCTTCCAAGTCTACTTCTATTTTATACCAGCATTTACAGTTTTGAAATGCAAAGGCCAAGGATTTGACCCTTTGCTATCTATGTATTACTCTTCTAATAGCCTTTCCAGGAAAAGAATGAATTCTTGATTTGTGCAGCTCATGAGCAAGGAATGGTTTTTACATTCTTAAATAGTTGAAAGAAAATCAAAAGAAGAATATTTCATGATGCATGGAAATTATAAGAAATTCAACTTTCAGTGTCCAAAATACAAATTTGATCATGACAATTATTTTGCATATTATCTATGGCTGCTTTCACACTGCAAATGCAAAGTTGAATAGTTGGGACAGAGACCTATGGCCTGCAAAGGTTAAAATATTTACTGTTTAGCCATTGAATAAAAAGTTTGCCACTACCCTGGTTTAGCTTAATTAGAAAAGTCATCCTTAATCCATTTTCTTGAGCTTACAGCCAAGATTTCCCTTCCTTACTATAACTGCTGAAGGACACCATCAAAGGCAAATAGTAATACTAATAGCTAGTGTTTTAAAATGTTATCTACATGAATACACATTATAAAAAAATCACTAGAGATGAAAAAATGATTATGGAACAGCCCTGCCTTCCAGGGACTCATAATTAATGGATGGGTTAACAGATGTATAAGCAGGTAAGTGTAGACAATGTGGCAAATACTCCTGAGACAGGACATGCAGAAAAGGGCAAGGATTGCTACAGAAGACCGTGAGCTCAGGTTTTGATACAGGTTTGAGGTGCCAAGGAGATAGTCCATGAAGATAACCAACAAGTAGATAAATATTCTCCCTGTGGTGTCAGCCTTACAGGATCACCTGAAGGACTGGCTGGCCCCCTCAGGTACCTTTAGATGTGGTTTAACTAAACGGGCTGAAAAGCAACCTCAATCCACTGGTTTTTGTTTTCAGGATAGCTTCCTTTGCTCTACTGCACTTGCTGTGTGACTCCCCTGGAGGTTAAGAAGAAGAGTAACAATAATAACAGCCAGCATGTACTGAATTTGAACTCTAGTCCAGGCTCTCAGCTAACTTCTTACATCATTTGATCGTTCCCAGAGCCATATGAGGTAGGTGGTTATCTTATTACTATTTTAGGTATGGGAATAATGAGGCACAGAGAAAATCAGGAACTTGCCCAAGGTTGCTTAACTAAAAAGTAGAGAGCTTTGAACTCTAGAGTCTGTGCTGTTAGCCATAGGCTTTCCTGTGTTAGTTGCCTGCTATTTTGAAGTAAAGAACCTCTCTCAGGTGGTATCAGATGGAGGCAGAGCTGAGGTGGAAAAGTGAATCTATAGTCCTTAGCATCCCCTCACTCTTCTTGACTCTGACTTCCTGTTACCCACCCTACAAGAAGGCAAAGATAACACTTTATGCATGACCCAGATGAAACTGACAGGGTGGCAAGTGTAAAATATAAAGTTCATTCTGGCTTTTACAACTGGGTCATCTGGATAGAAATGGTAATTCACCTTTTATTGTGCAAGTGGCTAAATTTGGAGGAAGCATGTTGCAGGGGATAGAATGCAGCTTTTGGTACGAAACCTGTTCTTTAATTTTCCAAATATTTTTTGGGGTTCCCAAAATGATATAGCCTGAGAGCCACTAATTACTAACACTGTAGGTTTAGAAAACCTGGCTTGAGCTCTTTGAGCTCTCTGTCCTTATTTCTACAATGGAGCTGATATTATTCATCCCAAAGGATTGTTATGAAGATTAGGTATAATAAATATTCTTTCAGGTCCTTCATTTGCCTGCTACTGATAAAGAGGTTTTGAAAAGCAAGCTCAAACTTACCCTTAAGTTACCAAGTCTCATAACAGCATACACAGCACCACCAGCGGAAGCAGAGAACAAGAGTTTCAAAACCTATTCAGTTTCCAAAATCCTATTCAGAGATACTGGTAATCTAATTACTTTCTATTTTCTAAACATTCTGACATTCCATAGCCTCTTCCTTCTTGTGCCAATACGGAAGTTTCCTATTATCAGTATCATCCTATGACTATGACACTAACAAATGATCCAGGTATCCTATTAGAATAAAACTCCTTTAATTCAAAATCAAAAACTCAGAGAATTTCATTTGGGCTCTTTCAAAATTTACCTGAATTCTGCATTTGCAAAGGATTGGCGGTGCTGTTGTTTAGCTTTCATCCTGCTTGTCCCCAGGCCTGGGACTGCTGGGCACACAGATGCCACAATTCTTGAGGCCAGGAGTCCAGCAGAATCCTCACTGGGCTATTGACCAAATGGTGCAGAACATGGACTCACATCTAAGTGTAATCTAAACAACTATGCAGCTCACATTTCTAATGTAAGTGAGCAAAGGTAAATGAACAAGTAACATGAGGAATTTATTTTTAAAGGGTAATTTTCAGAATATGTCTTCAATCTAGTTTCACCGTCATCTTCTCACACTCTTTAAACATGTTGCTCTACAGCAAAACTGATGTTCAGAATGATAAGCCTGAACCTGCTCATCACCAAAGATTAATGTTAAGTACAGGTGAACCTTGAACAGTGCAGGGGTTAGGGGCGATGGCCCCTTGTGCAGTAGAAAATCTACATATAAAATCTACATACATTTGGCTCCCCAAAAATTTAACTACTAATAGTTTGCTGTTAACCAGAAGCCTTACTGATAACATAAACAATTAACATATATTTTGTATGGCATAAGTATTATATACTGTATTCTTACAATAAAGTAAGCTTGAGGAAAAAAATGGTTTTTCAAATTGTCACAAATCTGCAAATAATTTTCTAATATATTTATTGGGGGAAAAAATCTGCATGTAAGTGGACTCATGCAGTTCAAACCCCGTTTGCTCAAGGGTCAAACTGTACATAGTATTTTAGTAAGTCCCTGAAAACTGATAAATTAATTCATGGTATATAACTCCTAATTAAGCAAAGCCAGACACTCTATTCCTTTATTATTTTGACTAAGTGGCAGTTTATTCTACTTGGAAATAATGAAATGGCATTTCTCTTCAAATACACCAAAATTGGAACTTTTTCCTTAGTTAGATCAGTGTTTATTTGTATTTCAAATTACTGAGTTTCTATGATAAAGTTCACAGGTGCTGTCATGTAATGTGATTATAATAAATGAGCCTCATACCTGTGCCTCTCCTAAGTCACTGGGTAACTTACCATTGGCATGTAAGGATGATTATTTACCTAGACATTCACTTTTTACCTTTTGCTCATATAAAACTGGGGTCAATGCTAGTAACAAATCTTACATTTTAAATTACACATTTTTCATTTAAAAAAATATACCCATAAATTTTAAGTTCTTTTTAAACAGATTTGATTCCCCTAGATGCCTGTTGAGTTTCAGCATAGAATCCTTAAATTTTATGTCCATAATCACTGATGTAAATTTCACCGTAGGAGATACTAAATTATAAAAAGCTAAATAGATAGATCCCTTTAGTTGGACATTTGTTTATTTAGCAACTTATAAAAGGCAAGACCTATACAGGAAACATCTCCCTGTTTGGAAGCATATGGTAATCATTATTAAAACTAGAGTGGTTTGAATATCACACAAACAATCCGATAAAAACATGTAAAACCAATCTTTGCAAGTCCACTGTGGTCACTGTTGGTTGGCTTTTCTTTAATTCATTTAGATGCTAAGACATAGTGAAAGTTAGCTTACATTCCAAGAAGTTTGATTTGTTGTAGCCTTGTATCTCATTTCACAGGAAACCTTTTCAATTGTTGTTTGACTGTTCCAGTGAATTATGGTCTTGGGCACTGTAGTATTTATATCCTCAGCCCTGGAAATGATGGATGCAGAAGGTATCACTAGAAAACACAAATACCCATCAGTTTAAAACTTACCCAGTAGGAAATAAATAAATTTGTATCAATATATAGACATGTGAAAACTCAAAGCACTAAAAAGAATGTTATGATCTAATTAATACTTAATGAATTTTTCATTCTTTTCCAATCTAGTATGTAGGAGAAAACTGCTGTAGTTAAGTAAAATTCTACTCAGCCCCTTCTCCATTTCTTTTAATGGAACTCTAATTGTCCTATCTTTCCCCCATCTACAGCACCTTTATAATCCTAAATAATGAAATTCCAAAGTCTAGCCTTATTTACAAAAGAGTATAAAGAAGAGAAAAGTCAATATCTCTTTTTCCCTACCTCTGTTTAGGGAGAAATTATGTTTTGCATCCTAATTTAGTTCAGAGAATCTGAATTGATAAAATGTTAAATTGAGATCTTTCACAATAATATTTTTATTCTCTTATGTCATTGGGAACATGAATATTTAAATCTATTCCTAATTTGTTTTGCTAATTATTAAAATAAATCCATGCTTGAAAGTATGATTTTAACAAAGCAAGTCTCAAAATTTCTAAGACTTTATAAATTATTGCCATGTTCTCTAATAACTTTCAAAAGGGAACTGAAATTATTAATGATTATCTTACTAGTTTTTTTGTTTTATTAGAAGTAATGGTATAACTGGAATCTCTTTATTTTGAAACTGTATATATTCTTATAAGTTTTTTCTGTCCAAAAAAAAATAAAACCACCAGCACTTCCCATTTCTCCTGTAGGCATAATATATCAATGAAAATTTATTACTTTGTTAGATGTATTATTTAACAAAGAATTTGAGCCTGTATGTGTTTTTAGGGACCATTATTAAAGTTTAATATCTGTATGAATTAGTTTTCTTTTCATTTATTCTAAGTTTATAAAGAAAAATTATTATTTCTTAGGGGGTGAAATTGTTTATTATCAATTTGTCATTATTATTTATTTATTGCTTATTTTCAAAACTATTATTGCCTAAAATTGTGCACACAGCTATATGATTTATAGACAAATATACAATTTTTAAAAATAAACAAGTAAAATTACATCAAACTAAAAAACTCTGCACAGCAAAGGGAACCATCAACAAAATGAAAAGATGACCTACTGAATGGGAGAAGATATTTGAAACCCAATAAGGGGTGAATATCCAAGATATGTCTCATACAACTCAACACCAAAAAAACAAACGATCTGCTTAAAAAATTGAGATGATCTGAATAGACATTCTTTCAAAGAAGGCATAGATGGCCAACGGACACATGAAAAGATGCTCATCATCATTAATCATCATGGAAATACAAATCAAAACCATGATATATCACCTCACACCAGTCAGAATGGTTAATACCAAAAAAACAAGAAATAACAAGTATTGGCAAGGATGCGGAGCAAAGGGAACCCTTGTACACTGCTGGTGGGATTGCAAATTGGTGCAGCCACTATGTAAAGCAGTATGGAGATTTCCAAAAAAACTAAAAATGGAAATACCATATGACCCAGTAATTCCACTTCCAGAACTTACCTGAAGAAAAAAAATTGCTAATATACATCCCATGTTTATCACAGCATTATTTGTAATAGTCAAGATTTGGAAGCAACCAAAGTGGCCATCAAAAGATGAATGTGGTACATATACACAATGGAATATTACTTAGCCATAAAAAAGAATGCAACTGTGCCATTTGCAACAATATGAATGGACCTAGACAGGCTAAGTGAAATAAATCAGAGAAATAAAATACCATGATTTCACTTACATGTTGGATCCAAAAAAATAAAGCAAACTACAGAAATAGACTCATAAACACAGAAAACAGACTGGTGGTTGCCATAGGAGAAGGGAATGGGGGGATGGGTGAAATAGTTGAAAGGGCTAAGAGGTACAAACTTCTGATTGTGAAATAAATTAATCACAGGGAGGAAAGTACCAGCACAGGGGATTAGTCGATAATGTTGTAATAACTTTGTGCAGTGAGAGATGGTAGCTGCATTTATCATGTTGAGCATTTCATAATGTATACAATGATCAAATCAGTATGTTGTATACCTGAAACCAATATAATATTGTTTATCAACTATACTTCAATTTAAGAAAGTAAAAAAATAAATATACGAAATAAAAATTAAAGATTTGTTCTCTAGTAGCACAGTCCTATAATTAAATTATTGGGCTAAACCTAACAGGATAGAAGTGATAGTAGCAGAATTAGTCTAATGAAAGTACTTACTCTACTGAACTTTTATCATCTGAATTCCTTTTGCTAGTGTAAGCTTCTTGTACTAAGAATCAGTATTCAGGGATGTCTAGAATCAGGGAAGTAAATCTGCAGGATCTGAGACCACTTGGGACCAGTTAAGCATCCTTAATGCTATATATACCCACCCTTCCTCTCTCTCATCTTTGAGTTTGGTCTGCCACTGGTTTAGCAGCACAAGCATTGTGAGACTCCTTTGCAGAAATAAATATTGTACAGAGGAAGCAAAAGTCTGTTTAGTCCTGTGAGAAATGCAGATAGAACAGTAAATCATGTTTAGGAAAAAAGTCTTAGCACAGAGCAGGTCAATGCATTACAGATCTAAACCTTTAGGTTTGAATGACCTCATACTTTTTCAAATAAATAAATATTATATAATATGTACTTGAATCTGTAGGTCGTTACATGATTCAGATGTTGAATTTTTCTTGTTGCTTAAGTTTCAACATTCCCATTGTATCCTACAATTTAAAAAAACTCAAATCCATCATCAATGCCATTTTTTTAGTTTCCATTTGTATTGAAATAACCAGATTATAGTTGTTTGGTATCTTTCCAACGGCATATATTTACCTATAATTATTCAATGAGAAGAATTAATGTTCAAAATGGCAGCCAGGTGGCACTGCACGTTCTGTATTGAATTTTTTATCTACAAAAGAAGTTTAAGCATTCCTCTCACATGTCGTGTTGGCACAGTGTTACCCGTTATTAACTCCACTCTGCCTTTCAGCCCAGCCTCTCTAACTTAATCAAAGCCCAATCTGGTAGTTGTTATGTGGAAATTGCCCCCAAGAGAGTCCTCTATCCTCCATTTCATTGAACAGTTCATTCATCTAACTTGAAATGTCTCATTCTTAAACTGCCACAAATGAATATAACTGATCCATTAATAATCTGGTGATTTTGTTGGGTGGGACCTCCTATAGGTCAATCTGAATTTCTAAGAATCCATTTTGGGCTAATAAAAAAGGAAGAGAAGTTGGAGGAGGAAGAGGAGAAGGAAGAGACAGAGGCATAACTCCAAACAAGTGGCTCCCTGGTTCACAGTGTGAGAAGTCAGATTTGGAGGTAGCAGCCAGATGAGATTTTCCCTTTAGGACAAGTGCAACAGTGGTTAACAACAGCAAGTCAGCAAATTTGTGCTGAAATATGTCTTTCCTCCTTATAAGCTGTGTGACCTTGAAAAATTTATCTCTTTCTTCACCTGTAAAATGGGCACAGTAAATCATTTATGACTGTTTCTAGAATTAAATGTGATTTGCATGTTGATTGTCTAGAATACAGTAGGTGTTCAATAAATGGCTGTGATGATGTTAATTAAGATCATAAGATCACAATGATAATAATAACAGTAATACTATGGATTTCATTTCTAAAATGATACTGCCAAGATGGTACTGGACATGATAGCCTGTAAATATCATTAATCCATTGAGGGACTCTTGTTTTAAGAAAAGGGCATATGATAGGATCCTACCTCAAACTGTAAATTTACAAAAATGTATAAGTAATAGTCAAGAGAAGTAAAAGTCCAATAATACAATACAATGGAATTGTTGTTCATCACCATAGTCAGCAGTATTCATTTTCAAATCTAATATTTAGAGCCTAAAGCCAGATTTTGAGACAAATCCCATTAGTTGAGATTAGTTGAGAAAGAAGTTAAGAAGTTGAGATATTAGTTCCAATAGAAGACCCCAGTGGTCCTCAAAGGATACCCGTGTTGTACACCAAGAGGTGTCATATCCCTGAGGTTATTAACCAGCAGGAAAGTTGTCAGACACAGTGCAATGTGCTTTTGAATAAAGAGGGAGGATAGGAGTTGAGGATATTGTAACTGGAATCTCCCTAGCTCTGCTATGGCAAATTTCTTAATGCCACCTAGCATTTGTTCCCTCAGGTATAAATTATAATCTCTTCTACAAAATAGGGTTGTTGTGTAAATAAAATAATGTATGTAAAATCAGTTAGCAATGAAGAAAGTGTTATATAAAATGTTAGCTTACTGATATCACCCTTAGTAATAAAAACAGGAATAATTGGCACTAGGATCTCCAAATAGAGGGTGATTCACACTTAGTGCCATTGGACTGACCTCTGCCTTTAGCACTGGGATGTAGTTGTATAAGTCACAAGGGCAATTACTTTTTAGAATTATCTTAAGGAAATACCAACTACAATGCAAAAATTTAGCTGAAAGGCTGTTCATGGCAGTACAGTTTATAATGATAAAAATTTGAAAACAGCCGAAATCTCCAACAATAAGGGTCTAATTAAAGACATTCATTAAAAAATAGTATTGTAGATTAAACTAATAAAGTATTTATTTTATACTGTAAGTTTAAATAGGCAAAGTCTAAAATATCTGAAGCAAAAGTGCTAACATTTGTTAAATCTGGCTGGTGAGCATAGAGATGTCTACATAATTCTCCACAATTTTCTGTTTTTTGTAAAAGTTTTCAAAATGAAAACAAACAACAACGTAACTTCCAAAACAGTGTATACAATAGAATTCCTTACTGTGTTATACTTCTCACAACACAAAACTCATCACACGTTATTATAATCCTTGTTTCTGTCTATTTTCCTAGTAATTTGCATGCAAAATATATTTAGGGCAGCAGGTCCTTATCTTATTCTCTCTAGCCCTTGGAACAATGCTTGAATATAAAAAGTTCTCACTAAATATTTATACATATCTCCATGTAGAAAAAAGACTGAAAGGATATACAACAAAATGGTAGCAGTACTTATGTTTGGTTTGTTTCGGGCAGATTATGGTTAATTCTTGTTTTCTTTGTCATGATCTGCAGGAACTTCAGGGGAACTCGTTTCAGATCTGGATGTCATTTGACTAGGTTGGCCCAAATTATTTGTTTATTTATAAAGATATTATATAATTTTTTATTCCTTACCTATATCATCCAAGTGAATTTGCAGTTGTTTTGACTTCTCCATGCCTAGTACGTTTGCAGCTTGGACCCAAACCAAATATTTCTTGCCACCTTGCAATGAATCAGTGGAGATGTTAGCATAACTTGAAGTGAGATATTGTTGCTCTTCTTCTGTCTCTAAACTTAAAAAAAAAGAACGATTATGATCACCTGTTATGTTTGGTTTGAATTAATTATTCCTCAATTTTTTTGATGCTACCTTTCTAGCCTGCTTTCAGAATGCAACCTTTTACTTAAAAATGAATCAAAATTTGTTTCATTTTGAAAAATTTTAAGAAGATATTCAAATATCCAGGGCCACTGTATGACTTTTATGGGCCCTAAGCATTTTTGCCATCATAGACCCCTTCTTCCATTAAGGAAATATATATGGATAGATAGATAGATAGATAGATAGATAGATAGATAGATAGATAGATAGATAGATAGATAGATAGTGTTTATGTTTATATACACACATCTGTTCATATAGATTATGTTTCCAACTGATTATATAAAAGAAAATATATTAATATTAGAACATTTGCTCTCATCTAACAGTTCATTTTTCTTCAGATTTTAAATGAAATGCATTTTCGTGGACTCCTAAAAGTATCACAGGCCCTGAGTGTTATGCTGACTGTGCCTGTTGGATAAGTCGGCTCTGGACACAATTTGAAATAAATAAGCACCCTCTGGGAAGAAAGCATTATATAGGGGTTCAGTGCAAGTGCTTTGAGTCAGACATTTCTACTGATGTAAGGTGAGGGGTAAGAATGGAATGAGGGTCATGATGGAGTGAGAGATCTGGATGAGGTAGAGGAAAAGAAACGTTCCAGGCAGAAAAAACCAGCATGTTCTAAAACAAGTGAAAGGGCATGCCACCTTTGTGAAAGTTCAAGTTTGATACCCTGCAGCATGAAAGTGCAAAAAGTAATTGAGGTAGAGCAGACCAGGACAAAAAGACCTTCTGTGTATTTGAAAGTAAAACTGACTGTACCTAGTGGCTAATTAGATGAAGGGAAAGGAATTCATTTCCTGTGGAAGAGAATGGAGAAGATAGAGGGGACAGACCGGTTTAGAATGAGAGATAGAGAGGGCTATAGATATTAAATTATCCCTTAAAACTATGTTTATCTAAGGTTTAATAATTGAATGACAGAGGATCTTGAGAGGATCTCTAACCAGCCAGTTAAACATGGTAACATTTCAGATGTTATTTGTTAAGGCTAAAATTTTAAATTGTATTCATCAATGTTGGCTTAGGACAGAACATCTGAGCCTCTCTTTGAAATATTTTAAGAATTTCTACTCCACAATATTTTTAGGTGGTAGGGGTTAGGGGTAGTGGTGAGTACTGGGGAATATGCCTTCCCACCTTTTCTTGTTTCCATGAGAGAATGTCCTTAAACCTCCCCACCCCTCTCTGGTCCCTTGCTCACTCTTCCCTCTTGAATTCTATTTCCCTCTTGATTCTTATGAAGAACTTGGCATGTATACCTCATTCACTTCTTTCTCCCTTCTTCCCTTGGGAGTCAGAAGACCACAGAGGCAACCTGTTCTGGTCTGTTCCTCCAAAATGCTGTATAATTAAGGGGAGTGAGTCCCCCATATGGAACCTGCTGCTGCCCAATGCTGGCTGTAATTGGGGATGAGGACAGTAAATCTGTTTATGCTGGGAGGCTCAATATGAGGAAATTTAGTGTTGTCATATACCAAAGCCACACCCTCCATTAGCAAGCTTCATCAGTAATAAATATTATAAAAAATTTAAGTATTTAAATTGTTTAAATATTTAGATTAATTAAAATATAAATATTTTTATATTTTTATTCTTTACCAGCTAACTCTGGTTTCTCTCACTTGGTTTCAAATTCATGAGGGAAATTTGCACAGATGAATAAATATTGGGTGCCCTCAGACTCTTAAACACCATTATCATAATCAGATCCATTCATAATATAAAAGCGTTTTCATTAAACTTCCCAAAGTTTGTATTTCATGATCTACCAATTCCTATTTCCTCTTCTTAAGCTTCTCAGTCAGATTTTCTATATTCTTGGTAACTACATCCAAGTTATCAATTTTACTTGTTCTTTAAGTCTTCTGCTGTGATTTCTGCCTCCACTTTTCCCATGAAGCAACTCTTTTAAATGGCATCTTTTCCAAGGGAAGTCCTCTGAATCCTCATTTTAGCCTCTTTAATTCCTTTTAAGTTACTTAAAGTTCTTACCTCCCTGGCTACCCAGAATCTGTCTTCCGGGTGAGAGCTCATCTCTTTTTCACCCCCGTTTAGTGACATCCTCTGACCCTCCACCTGGTTCTTCTCCTGATTCTTCTTACCCCATTACGTTGAGGTCAACCCTTGGTGGTACTTGTCTTTTTCCTCAGCTATTTCTCTCAGCTCTCTCACCTTCCTGGCTTCAGTCACTATTCCACAAGTACAGCTCCCACATATCTGCGCTCCCTGGGAGCTGCATCTAAATATCCTCCTGACAATGGAATCATAGCATATTTATAAGTAAACTACCCTTCCACGCAGTTCAGCACTTCTTGCCAGTTTCCCATTATTGTCAACAGCATGCTGCCTTTTTGGTATCCTCAGTTTGACATTTTTAACAATTTTCTATCACCCTTAAGCGCCAGTCAAAGTAGGTGAAGTATTTGAAAACTAGTATGTTCTTATTTTATCTTTCCCCCTTGTTTTGATAGCTGGGGACATAGTCTAGGCTCTATTTCTATATTATCTGTTTGGTATGTGACTTGTAGGTTCTTCAGTTAATTGTATTAAATTATAAAACCTAACTTGGGATAGATATATCAATTTAGAAGGGAAATAACCTTGTAATTTGAACAATGGTTAAAAGACAAGTACTCTACATTCTTACATTTAACTAATGGAAATGCTCCACAAACTTGCATAACATCCTCAATCAGGGGTCATGTCCACCTTCTCTGCACCATGCCAGCTGTAGTATTTGTGCTGTTGAGGCAAGCAACAGCCTGATTTCTTTATCTAATACCATCTAATATTTAATTTCTGCTCTCTGTCCCATGGGGCTGACTCCATAGGATATGTGGGTAAGAAAGAGTTTAAAAATCACTAACATTTCATCCCTAGAGCGCTACTTTACTGTGTGTCTAATAAGCAACTCCTGAATTTCTCCAGCCCTACAGTATTCCAGCCAGGATTGTAACTTGCCAGCCACTTAGATCTGTTGGAGTCCAGAGTGACATTCTTGCTAGAACACTAAATTCCAGGGAGAAAAAGAGGTACCATCCAGTCTTACACAACTAAGCAATAAATGCATTTATGAATCAAAATACTACAGAAATTATTTATATTTTAAACATATTGCCACTACCAGAGCAGGATAACCTCAGCAGGCAATCGAGGAATCTCTCTAAGGCTAGGAGGTGTGTGTGTGTTTGGGGAGTTGGGGCTGGAGGGCATGAGGTGATACACAGCATGAAGGCAGCTGTAGCTACTCTAGCACAGCTCAGGTTTTTGACTCTCAGCATGGAGATCAGTATGAACACCATGAGAGGACAAGGAGGACCTATCATGGTGACCAAAAGCACAGCACTAGGGTTTTAGAGGCAGACCTAGGTTCAAATCCCAGCTTTGCCCCTTGACAAATTGTAGGACTTGGAGCCAGTTACTTAACTTCTATGTATTTCAGTTTACTCATCTGTAAAACAGAAATAACATGTTATCAGGAGTAAATGAAAAATGAGTAAATGAGATAAGAAAGCATAGAACAGGTGGCTTCACACATAATAAAGGGCTCATTAAACAAATTATTATTATTATGAATTAAAAGATATTTATAACATGTGAGTTTTACAGTCTAAAGAATACAAATGAAGCTTTTAAAAGTGTTCTATTTCAACATGGGAAATTTCTTTTATATTGCTTGTATCTGAAGTCAAATCATGTCATTCAATTCAGTTGCTTACATAGTTGTCTTATATTTTTTCTGAAATAAGGTGGATCATAAATCAATTAACAGATAATTTGTTTTAAGGTATCCTAAATTCATACTAAGTAAGAATTCAAATGTGAAAATAAGAAAATGGCAAGTATGTATAAGTAGTAAGTAGGACATCTTTGAATATTTTCCAGTTAGAGAAAACCACATGCATGTTCTTAATCGGTTTGTGGCTAATTCCTTTCCCACACATATTGAGACCACAGTCAAAATGGAAATGTATTCTCAAACTGACTTTAATCATAGTAAGTAGGTAATGTTATTTTGCTTTTAAAGTCCATCCTCATATTAGTACCTACACCAAAAAGCACTATTTTAGATGAAGAATCCAGTAATAATGACTGACTCTACTTTGGGACTATTTTTAAATAAAACTATATTACAAAGTTTTAAAATTTATTTCTATTTATTTTTTTGATGTGCTAATTAATACACAACAGGTTATTTGTTGAAAGGAGTCAGCATGATTCATATTTCACTGAAGTTTCCTGTGCACCCGGCCCTAGTTGTAGTCAATAGATTTTCAACAAACACTGCCACTGTATGGTGATAATGGTGAATAATGTCTTCCATTTATTTCATTATTCATTCAACAAATATTTCTTCAATCCCCATTATGCTCCAAACACTACTTTGGATGCTGGGGCTATAACAATGAACAAAACAGATAAAGTCCCAACCTTCATGGAGCACTCATTTTGGTGGAAACAAATAAATATATATGTCTAGATAAATGTTTAGAAGAAAATTAAAGCAAAAAATGGGTTACAAAGTCCTAGAACTAGGGATGAGGGGGCTTTTCTTAGGAAGATAAGGAGAATCTTATCTGAGCAGGTAACATTAGAGCAGTAAAGGATCAAGTCTTGTGGCTCTCTGGAGGAAAAGCCCTGAGGCAGAACATTGCTTGTCCCATTGAAAGAACAGCACGAAGGTGAATGTGGCTTTTAGTGTGGAAGGATGAGAAGAGATCAGAGAGTCTGGAGGAAGGAGAGATTTAGAAGGCTTCATAAGGTCACATCAGGCCATCGAACAACTCTGGCTTTGATTTCTGAGTGAAATGGGAGGTTCTGAGCAGAAGAGTGACATAATCTGAGGTATATGTGAAAAAGACTACCCTGGGTGTGTGGTTAATGGATTGTAGGAGGGCAAAG